CATGTCAAACAGAGGATTTTTCAACATGTTGTAATGTTGGACAAATGCATCAACAGCTGCCTTGAGCAGGGACAACACTGTTCAGTCTGCCATGATGTGTACTCAGTCCTGATAGCCTACAACAAACATTCACTCCTGCTTCCATGGGAACACTGCTGTGTGTGCACAGAGCCGACACACGCTGTTTGCATGTGTTAGTAATTGCACACTCCCACTGTGATGGAGGATGATGACGCCAGTATAATCTGACACATTTAATCTGGGACAACGAGCCTCCGTCTCCTCTGGGAAGTCACACTTTCCTCTCTTTAAGATCATCCTCTCTCCGACTGGCATGAGGCTCCAGGAGATAAGACAAAGAGGAAGTGAAGAGCCACAAATAAGACAATCATCCCTGTCTGATGCTGAGACACAAGCATGACTAAATGCCTGTATTATCCTGACTCCATCTCCTTCATTTCTCAGTGTGTTCCTCGTTGATTTCTGTCGCTTTACATTTGCATACATGGTAGTGTGTCAAACTGAATGTCACATGACTGAAAGAGATGAACGGCAGATTTAATAGTGCACTAAAAACGAGGAATAAGGAGTGAATGGGGCAGTCATGACAGTTATTTTGGATGATGCATGTGAAGCAGATTCTTCAATATCATAACAGACGTCATAACACAAACTGGAATCATAGAGACTCACTTTCTCCAGTGAGAGCTGTTTATCCAATGTCTGTCAAAGATAAATGTGCTCGTTACGACTTCAGCTCTTGCCTTTGATCAAATTTAGATGTTTTCTTCAATATGAAAATTAATCCAAATGATTTTTGTCTGTATGTTCTGCCACATGACTTTTTATGGTGCAGGTTTGACTGAACCTATATATAACCATATCCAGGGAACATGATTCTTATATCCCTGAAATACTAACACTCCTCTATTGATACAGACAGATATTTTCTTAAAGGTCCTATATAGTATAAAGTAAAACATAAAATGTCCATGTGTTGTTTGATAATTTCACAGTATTAATATAGAACCTAGACCTGCTTTATAATCAAAGCGCTCAGTCCACAGAGAAATGCACACAGCCTGTATTCAGAAACTGAACCTTAAAACCAGCCGTCAGGACTTCTGGAACTTTTCGATGTCACAACAAAGCAGCCATGCCCCAAGCCCCGCCCACCTGGATCCACCATCCAAAACCTTGCAGGATTTGGATGGTGGGAGTGTTTACCTGAAATCTGCTATATTTTTATTCAATCACGCACATTAGATTTTTATGTTTTATGTTTTCATGTTGGTTTTATCACTTTTTTTTTTATAGGAAACACTTTTCAGCTTTAGTTAAGTATATAATATAAATATCAGTTTCAGCCCAGTGCAGAGCTCCTGTGGGTCCAAGACTGGATGAGGCTTTTAGAGCTCTTCAGTTTGAGTATCTCACTTATCCACTGAGTATCTTTCCCTTATGCTAAATATCAGCGAATACAAACAGACCTCAGTCAGCTTCTGTTGGTTTAATTGGTTTATTTTTATTCTGCATGGGGATCGACACATTTCACATCGAGAGAGTTTAATCACGTGTCTGTATTTTTTTTTAAACGTGTGAGATAAAAAAGTAGCATCTTTATTTGTATTCCTCAGTCTCAAAGCACACAATTAAAAAAATTAAAAGAGTGCAGAAAGACAGAAATATTTAAATAAACCAGATTATGTTTACAGAAGATATGGAAATGTGTAGACACTGGAAAGATGTTTGGCTTTCAGAAAAATGTATATCAGCCATTCAAAAGGCCCAGATACTCATTTTTGTCTCATGGAATATAGAAAGTATTCGAATAGCTCTTGCATGTTTTTAGGACCTGTTTTTATCTGGTTTATTTTATTATTTTTTTACATGACTTTGCTCCTCTTCATTTCCCCTTTGCACCACTGTTATTTTACCTTTAGAGTTTGTCTTAATATGTTTTAGTCTTGATTTTCTCTGTAGAATACATTTTTCCTTTTACTTACAGTCTAAATTCAAGAGTTAGACAAGAGACGGAACATATAATGAAGTGTCCAGAGTGCAGTAAAGTTCTCCAGTAAAAAAAACACGAGCCTATAAGTCGTTTGTGCAGCAGGTTATTATGACCCATAGTTATGTTTTGTTATAGGTGACATAGGTCGTATCAAAGAGTTGAAAAAAACGACCTATATGGTTGTTCAGGTTGAAGGACTAGTATTAGGGCCACATTTAGGAAAAAAAAAGAAATCTGAAATTATGAGAATAAAGTCGTAATTTTACAAGAATAAAGTTGTAATATTACAAGAATTCAAAATTCAAAATTTTGAGAGAAAAAAACATAATCTTTAATAATATTACATCAACCAATCCAACAGGTTAAAGGACAGTCAGTGTCAGCCTGAGCTGCTTCTGGCAGCTGCTGTTTGTCTGTCTAACAACAGAATAGACTCAGTTTCTTCAGTCTTTTCAATGTCCTGATGATGATGCTGTTGCTGCTGACGATGATGATGCTGATGAGCTAAAAGATGAAGTATCTCCTCATTAGTGAAACCTCTGCTAAAGTAGAACTTCACAGGATACTCCACGTTCCTCATTTTAAAGCTTCTGATGTTTCCCCTCTTAAACAACATGGAACCAAAAATTACAACTTTATCCTCAATATATTATGACTTAATTCTTGTAATTTTATGACTTTGTCTCATAAAATTACGCATTTTATTATCATAATATACGACTTAATTCGTTTTTTCCCCTCTCAATATGGCCCTAATGCCCTGTCACACATACCAGAGTCAAGCCTGGGTTTTCATTTATGTAGTAGGATTTTATATACAGTCTATGAGTAGAATGCATTTAAGACCCTATAATGTGTAGTAACATAAAACAATAAGCAAAGTAAATGTATTAAGTTTTTGACAAACTGTAATTTGGGAGAACAGGGGACAGGGTCCAACTGCTCCAAAGCAAACCCAAAAAAAGGCTAAATAAAGAAACATAATAGGGCAATGTGCCTTATTTTGAAAAGTGCTGTATGAAAAAAAACTATTTAAAACTTTTTATATTGCCCAGTTTCCTCATTATTCTCTTATTTATTGGGTCATGACAGGAGAAGTTGAAGTTCGCAGCTCTCCTTCCTGCTCTGCAGCTCCGGACTGAAAACGTGCGCACCTGATGACACAGCATTCTGCCGCTGTCTGTCTGCTGCTGCGTCATGTGCGCAGTAGACCACAACCAAGAAAGACTGCACCGTTCTCCCATCATCCACCTCTCAGGTATCATCTCTACATCTGTTGTATTTGTTTTTTTTTTTCCCTAAAATGCGGTGCACTGGGACATGCTGCGGCTCCTTTCCAGGTCACTGAGTTGTTATATAATTCATCAGCTCTCTGCAGTTTCCCAACATCCAATACTCCCATCCAGCCTCGCGCCTCTGTCACAGAATAACACCATTTCATAATTAAAGACCAAATTACGATTGCGGCAGAAACTAACAGCACCATATCCGGGTGACGCGGTGTTTTGCTGCAGCTGCAGCGGTGGTGCTGTGCGGTGCGGCAAGGTGAGGTGCGCCATCCCGACCCGTCCCGTCTCCGCCGCCGGCTGGCATAATTTGCAGACGGCAGGAGGAGGGAGGAGGAGGAGGAGGAGGAGGGAGGAGGGCTTTACTGACATCAGCACTGCCGCTCACTACAGCACCGAGCAGGCTGCCTGTCTGCTGGACCGGCCACGCCGTCTATTCACCCTGACTGGGGCTTCGCGGATGTCTGGGCTCCTCTCTGCGGGGTTCGGGTAGTGCGGAAGCGGACGGTTCGCGCACCGAGGCGTCGGTGGAGGAGAGAGAGCTCGTCTGTGCAGTTTTCGCGGTGAGTGTGCGGGCAGCAGACAGCGGGGCATACTGGCGCAGGGCGAGTTTAGTCGCGCACGCTGTCTGAATGAAGTTCATATTCGCCTAGTCACGCTTGTTGTAACTGTTAGTCTCAGCGTCTCTCTGTAAGCCAGCAAACAGAGGACTGAAGGATGTTTTCTCTGCATTAAAATTACATTATTTTCAAATTAAAATTTTTAAATTGATGCCCAGACCACAGATTTGTCTGTCTCACTCTAAGGCCTGAGCTAAATTAACATGTCCCTGCTTTAAATATCTAATAACTTGGTAAAAGTGTGTGATGTTAACATTTTAACTTCATTTGAAGTTTGCAGGAGCTTCAGGGGGCTGCACAGACCAGAAAAGGCGACGCGGCAGGATCTCATGCTGAAGAGTGCACACAGGGGCACTCTGAATAAGAAGCCAAATTCTGCACTGCAGTGGATTTCCTCAGGTGTGTGTGTGTGTATGTGTGTGTGTATGTGAGTGTGTGTAAGTGTGTCTGGCTTGACTCAGTATCAGCACCGAACACTTTCTCATTAGAATCAGAAGAACCCACAGAAGCTTTGGGGCTTCGTCTGGAGGTCACCCCGTCCTACAAAACCGTGCCACCCTCTAGTTTCCAGCCTCCCCCTCCACCTCCACCACCCCTCTCCCTTTTTTTTTTTTATCATAGGCACAGTGTGGTGGCTGGTCAGTCTGTCTCTTCATCTGGATCACAAAAGCCTGCAGGCCTCAGACTGTAGAGCTGTGACTGAAGTCTGGGTTCATACTGTGGATTTCTAAAGAACTGCATGGACTTTTAACCAAAACCTACAGGACTAAAGCAAAGACCAGCCAACTGTTCAGTTCTCTTGAGTTTTTGGATGAAGAAAGTTGGACCTGCTCGTCAGAAGGTGTCAAATTCCACCTCAGGGATCAGATTTTTATCATCTAAGTCAGCACGACACAGCAAATCTCAGGTGGCGTAACAGGTTTTTCCCAGGTCAAGGTTGAGTTTGAGTTTCATCTCAGGGATTTTTAACCGACAGAGTTTCCATTTGCTATTTTTCAAGGCGTGTACTTTTAAAGCAGCAAAATTTCAGGCAGCAACTGCATTTTTGGTTTCGGCATCAGCCCATGATCTCCCGTTGCCATGGCATCTGACAGCTTCCAGTACCGGGCGCTCTTTGAGTACAAGCGGGAACGTGGTGATGACATCAGCCTCCAGCCGGGTGACCTGCTCACCGTCCCAAAAGCTGCGCTGATGGCGACGGCGGGACTGGAGTACCAGGAGGGGGACGAGCGCAGCCCCAAAGGCTGGCTGCACGGAACCAACGAGAGGACCAAGGAGAAGGGAGACTTTCCAGGGACCTTTGTGGAGTACGTAGGGGTGGTGAGAGTCGGCCCTCCTGTGGCTAAATCCTGGCCAAGGCCTGTACCACCGACCCCTGGGGGGCAACAGACTTCCGTTGGGCCTCAGCCTCCCGGAGCAGCTGCTCCTTCAGGTGAGTGCTGCCTCAAGAGGATTGAAAATATCATGTGGTTGTTTGGGTTCTCTCTATCAGCTTTGCATGAAATCCACATTAATAGAACAAAAATGTAACATTGATCCAGTTTTGGCTGCAGAACCTGATGCTGGACTTCAGATGTATCCAGTACCGGTGTGAGTGGCTCTGCTCAGACAGCGTTTTGTGTGTGAGTGTGTGTGGTATTGTCATCTGCTGTCTGGTTTCAGTTGCTATCAATCATGTTGGTGTTGTTTGCACAAACAAATTTGATTGACGGATTCTGAACACTTGAGTTAAAGAGCATAAAATTTCAAGTTGTACAAAAATGAACAGGTGTTGTAGCTTGATAAAGTACAAACATCTCAAACCGTTACACGAATGCTTTGTGAGCGTTAGGGCGATTCAAATGGAGGGAAGTGACAGCCCTGAACAACTTCTCTTGTTAGGCTTTGTTGGTGCCTTGGGGCCCATTTCAACACATGTGCAACATGAAATCTCGTCCTACCAATCAAAACAAATGTTATAATTGTCACCACTGCATGAGCAGGCATGAGCCCCGCAGGACTCACAGTTTATCTGCAACTTGCAAACAACATTCATTCAGGAAACATGAGGCTGCTACTACTTCCAACCTGCATGTTTTTCAGCAGAATTACACAAAAAGTACAGAGCCAATTTGCACCAAACTTTGTGGAGGGATGGGACACGGGTCAGTGACAAACTCGTTACATTTGGGTTCCAATCTGGTTAAACGGGTGGATGAAGGAATTTTTCATCTCTTTATTTTGCGACATTGAGCATTTTTTTGGCACTTTTGTCAGTTCTTCCGAAAAATACTGTTTGGCTCTTGATGTTAGAAGACACATTGATGTTGTTGAGATCTATGATTTTGTGCAGTCTGGTGCAGATCCAGGTAATAATCTGTATCTGACAGATGTGTAGGATTGTTTGGCCTTGGTGGAGGTATGTGCTCTATTGAGTGCCATAGTTGTGTAATGGGCTCCAGGTGCCTATGGTGCCAGTTGCTATTTCTGACTGTGCTTTGGATTTGTTGTGCATTTGCAGTGAAGAATGATGACATTAAGTGTACTTACGCGGTCCAGTCTAATGCCAGACTGCATTTTTAAGTGTGCTGTTGACAGACTGTTATTCTGCATTGCAATGCACAACAGGCGCTCAAACCACATAAAGGGTACTTTACAGTTAAAGGTTTAGCAGACAAACATACTCTCTCACTTTCCTCTAGTGGTATCCATCCACACAGATCGTTCTGATTTATTATATAGGCCTTGGAAATCTCTGCCTCCAACCAGTTCAATGGTGGAGCGCCGTCAGTAGTAGTATATTGTGTACACCTCACAGTCTCAGTACCTGCACGCTTCTTATTAGTCTGATAACCTGCAGCTGTGCTGATACTCTCTGATCATACACTTCCAGTCCAGCTGAAACCCTCTTTCAAAAACCTGCATCAAACCCCCAGCCCCCAGTCTCCAGGTCACATTGGACGTGTTAGTCTTCTGTCCTGTGGAAGAAAGTTGGTTTCGAATGATAATCTGTGGATCTGCTCATACATTACCGTCGTAGGTTTGGTAGTTTTTGTCTCTGCAGATGTTGCGATGGTCGGTTCGAGTTTTCCCTCTGAACACAGACTGTATTACAGCTTTACTGGACGTGTGGTTTCTTGGTTTGCGACCAGGTTCAGAAAAGGGGTTCATGTTACATAATATTGAGATAAGCATCTCCAGATTGAGACGGAACTGCCCTTCCTGAGGAGGATTCCCGGTACAGATTCTTTTTGTTGCTTGGCCCAATTTGACCTTCAGGAAGACTCAGTTTAACACAATTTTGGTCTTATTTTGTAGTTTTGCACATCATGTCTTGGCCATAATAACACTGTACTCATCAAGTTTATTGTTGATATCTGGGAGCACAGAAACATGGCTTCAATATCCGAATGTGATGAATTGGGAAACCTGAGGTCGAACGGAAAGAGAATGTCACAAAAAGTTGAAGTAGGAAGTCTCTAAACAGTGATGGATTTTTACAAAGAGCATTTTGGGTAATACTTTCACCATTTGCCTTCTCCTCCAAATATGTTCGGCTAACATGGGGAGGTGTTTCCAACCTGCATGTGGTTTTGCGATTGTGTTTTGGAAATGTTGCTGGACAACAAAATCCATTAACAATAAACCGGAATTATGCTTTAAACACCAACCCCTTTGCCAAAGTCTTATTTTTTTATGGCACCAGACTCCTTAGGTGTACTTCGACATGATGAAGCTGCACCCACCGACACGTAAACGATGAACTGCTGCGTGACCTCTGGGAGCAGTGGATCAATGACCATATTTCTTATTGACTCTGCAGTTCTCAGAAACATCCAGACATTTTGTGGCGCACTATAGACTCCCGAAGCACCATATTCATGTTTATTATCTCTCACAGTATCTCCTCCATTTAATTCCAGTCAGAGGACTGAGAACATACTGTACAGTAGTATGCAGGCTGTGTGTATCTGCTCAGTGCAGATGGATTTTTTGATGATTTATTTAAGACTGAGCACAAACAGACGGTAACTAGGACGAGAGGGCTCGGGCACCAAATGTAGAAAGCGCTGCGAAACACGCTGCCCCACTTAAAAAGCTATTCTGAAGCCTGCAGACTTTGATTAGGCTTTTTACAGGGTCGGGGTGGTTAGCTCTGTTTTAGCCCTGGCTGTCTGCTGCAGAGCGCGTTCAGATCTGCTATGTTTATGGCTCTTCATTTGCTAAATAGGTCAGACGCAGAGCAGTGTTCTCTCCTCTCCTTCCTCTGCCGCCTCTCCGCTCTCTTTAATTGTCTGGCTGCCCGTCTCTTTTATGGGAGTGGGGTTCAGACCGTCCTATATAAATAACATCCATACCGCTCCGGGCTCGGGTAAATATCTGTCTCATTTCCATCTGTCCCTGCTCCCTCTGCTGATGCTCTTAGTTATATTATGTGTTTTGGCTGAGCCACTTGTCCCTCCCTCCTCTCCATCCATCCATCTATCCATCCAACATCCTTCAACCGCATAAGGCTGTATCTGTCCTGAATAATTGATTGGCTGCTACACTGGCGTCCTGACATGCCACATTCCTGCAGTCACAAATCACCAGTAGCAGTGGAGGTTTAGCAGCGGTGCTGGGAGGCCTGTGCAGAGAGGGGCTAACAGATCTGCAGCCTCCATTGCTGCTGACATTCAGGCACACCCTGCTTCATGTCAGGACTCTGGAACAACACTGCTGAGGGTGTTTTCAGGAGCAGGGTTGATCAGGGCTCACTGGTCAATTCAGATAAAGTCACAAATAAGTCACTGTAATCTATGAGTCTGTGAGTGCGCATTTAGCCTGGCTGCATGTTGTGAAGCAGCAAGGACTGGAAAACTAGTTAAAGTGGGGGTTAGATTGCTCTGGAGCAGGATTGGTAAGGAGTTAAGGCTAAGTTACCATAGTGATTTACCCCGGTAAGTAGTGAACTGCCGTCATAGGACCGAAAACCCTGAGTTAAACCTGAAGTTACCTCGCTAACCTCAAATCCTGCTTTGTAGTACAGGCCTCAGGTGTCAGTATGACTCCAGGAAGTGCAGGGATGCACCAACAAAGACAGTGAAGAAGAAGACAGCAAGATGGTAAACATGGATGCAAATGATGCTGGATTATAAAACTTAAGGATACACACATACACAACACTGTATGGAAACTTGTGTTTGCTTACCAGAAAACTCCACAGGATACCTTTTAAGAACAGGAGTTGTCTGGACTTGAGGTGGGTTTTGTATTTAGAAACATGTTGATGGTATCATCGCAATGTCAGACTGACAAAACTCGCAAACTTTATGGAACCTTTTAGCCTCGTTTAGGTCATAGTTTTGGTTTTTCGGCACATTTTGTGACAGCCTGGATGTCAGACAGCAAGTTTTGGGTAAACCCACTATGCACTTTTAGTTCTGGTCAGGAATTATATGAAGTTTGTAGAGGAGAGAGTTGGAAAATAACTTCCTGGTCCTCTTCTTCTCCTGCTGTCTTCCTTACCCTCGTCTTCCACTTGTTGTCCGGAACAGTTCAGTTCCCTCCCAGTAGCCACGATGATTTAATCAGTTGTGATACCTAATAGGTCTAACAGGGCTTATTGCACTAATCAATGCGTAACACTATCTGACACTGTGTGATTGTGAACACCCTCCCACATTTCCCTACCTGACTCCTTACCCCTCCCTGAGGAGAGCTGTTTGCCAGCTCTGTACACCATTAATTATGACAGTAAGCTAATGAATCCCTGATGCGCTTCTCGTCACTATCTACCCACAGCTGTATAGGAAAAGCGTTGTGGTAATCAGAGTTCATGCTGATGGCTAATGGCACGTGGCGCTCTGCTTCGCTGTGATAAGGCAGATCACGCCTTTTTATCTGCAGATGAGCCCCGTGGCTCGCCGCACTCTGTTTCTCTTTCATGTAAATGAGGACGGCAATTAGATGTAAACCAGAGGACGAGACGCAGACGCTTCTGCACCGAGACTTTTGATTGGAGTTTGGTCAAGAAAAGCAAATGGTACTTAGTGTCAGACAAGAAGACCACCTTCATCATATTCTTCACCTTCACCTAACATAAAAACCAACCCCAAGTCTAAACCCTTCAAACAGACCTTTGAGGAAGTGAGGATGGGACAAGATGGCTTTGCTCTGAAAGTCTGAAACTCAAAGAGGTCTCCATAAAAACAAGGTGCACAAAAACACACAAACACACGCATACTATAGCCTATGGTTTTATGTCAATATATACCGGAAAGACCAGTGGTGGCAAGACTGAAAATAATGAGCTGCGTGGGTTTTCCCTCCACCTGTAAATGAAGTACCAGAGCCACACCTATGGCGAACGCGCATGGTTTCCAAGGTTATTTAACCACTGTTCCTACGGTGACAAGTTTACATAGATCAGTCAA